TTTTAAGTGGAGTATATCATTGTAGGCAGATGTTTTTAGTTTTGTAGGCCCACACATGTTATCATAAACCTGTTACTTTTATAAAGCAAACATTCTAAATATTCCTTTTTCTTTTTTGAGGAAGGTATAAAATGCTAAGGTAAAACGAGCCTTCCCAGCATTTATTCAATCCAGGCGAATATTTAAAATGCATAAAGCTCTCACTATGCAAGAGAATGCATCTTTGGAAATACTCAGTGTGTATGTTGGCTCCAGGTCTGCCTGTTTCTGTGATCTGGACTCATCTGGCTCATACTGCAAAGGCAGGAGAAAGAACTTTGATTTTACAAGAAGCAGTAACTTGGAAACCAGGAGATAAGATTGTAATTGCAAGCACAGGTCACAGGTATGATGTCTTCTGGGCATGATCATTTTAATTTAGGACAGAGATTTTTTAAACTATGTGAAAGAGGATGATTCAGAAGATCCACAACTATTTGATTTAAATTTGAAAGCTCTAATAAAGAATTATGAACAGCCAAGTACCTTTTTGCCGAATGTTAACATTGGGTTGAACACCAGTGTGTTGTTTTCGTTGATTAATTTACAATAAGGAAAAGTATAAATTTGAACCTGTAAAATGTATACTAATGAAATGTTTTTCATGGTTAGATTCTCATGTAAGATTTTGCTTGAAAAAAGCATTCTGCTATTAACAGCCATTTAGAAACATCTGACTTAGAGCTTCAGCCAAATACATTAATGAATGCAGAAATGTAAATGAACTGCTTTATTTGGGGTTGCCAAAGAACATGGTTGAAAGCAGCTCTTTCATATCTTATAGTCTTGACAGTGGTTCCCATGGAGTAAGACTGTTAGTAATGATTGAATCAAAGAGAAGAAATTATTATAGAATGAGTGATGATTAACATGACCTTTTACATGCCTGGCATTTTACAATTGAAACAGCTTATGACCTTTAATTTCTGTTTAATTATATGTATTAACAAGCAAGAAATAAAAGGAACAAGAGTAATATAGCTACACCAAGAATACTGGGGGGGAAAGAGAGCAAGAGGAGCTTTCTTTTTGCTTTATTATTCAAATTATGGGTAATAGCAAAATTGGATATGATTATGCTTATCAGGTAACAAATAATAATTTATGATAAGAAACAGCTAAATTATGTTAAGGTTGTGACTAAATTTAGAATTAAAATTCAAGATGGCATTTTGAGTTTGCCGTTTTCCAAGTTAAAAATAGACTTGCAGATGTTGGGAAGAGTTAAATATATACTTAGCTTTATAAGTGCCCTTTTATTTCTGGCTTTGGAAGAAGTTTTAATTATATAATGGCAAAATAAAAAGCAGCAAAATGACAGGGCTTACTAATAGAATAGAAAGTTCTCATTTATAGCTTTTCTATATGAAGTAAGAGGGTAAGTTTAGAATTTAGCTGAGGGATACTTAGTTTTAAGAAACAAAAATTAAGAAATTTCCCACCAAATTTAACTCACTGTTCACTATTTCATTTGCAAGTTGTATTTGAGAATTTGTAAAGCAAGTGGTCGAGACTACTACTTCTAAAATTAGTCAGCCTGGGTCCACCTCCCAGCAATACCACTTACGAGTCCTGCAGCCATATTGTTTCATCTTTTTGTGCTTCAGCAAAACTGGAATACTCTTTGTATCTATTTCAGAATTATTGTAAGAATTAAATGAGTTAGTATGTATAAGCACTTAGAGTGGAACTGGCTCAGAGTAAGTGCTATGTAAATGTTAGATTAAAAAAATAAATGTTAGATATTATTATAAAGGAACGAAGTGTTTTTAGGTGCACATAACATAAAAGATGCTTTGCAGAACTTTCTTCTCTAAAGAAATCTCTGTATCATCTGAATCCAAGAGAATTTAGGAGAGGCCAACCTAAACCCCCCCTTTTTTTTTTAAATTTTGTTTATTTATTTGACAGAGACACAGTGAGAGAGGGAACACAAGCAGGGGGAGTGGGAGAGGGAGAAGCAGGCTTCCCGCGGAGCAGGGAGCCCGATGCGGGACTCGATTCCAGGACCCTGGGATCATGACCTGAGTCGAAGGCAGACACTTAATGACTGAGCCACCCAGGAGCCACCTAAACCCCTTTTCTATACCACCGATAGGATCTTATACTATTGATATATCCTTAGCTCAAGGACCCTTCATGAATGGGTGAATCCTCAACTCCCCCTGGCTTCCTTTCCCCACAGTTCCTTCCCTGGGTCTTTTGGATTTGTGGGATTCTCCATCCACACTATCATGAAAAACATCTTTATTCTCCTATCCTTTCTAGCCACTTTCATTTTATCTTTTTATTTTTTAAACTTTTAAAAAAGATTTATTTATTTATTTTTTACAGAGAGAGAGCGGTGGCAGTGGGAAGGGTAGAGGGAGAAGGAGAGAAAGTCACAAGCAGACTCTGTGCTGAGTGCGGAGCCCAACTCGGGGCTTGATCTCACAACTCTGAGATCACGACCTGAGCCAAAACCAAGAGTCAGACGTGTAACCGACTGCGCCACCCAGGCGCCCCCATTTTGTCTTTAAAAAAAATTATTGAATTGCCTAAATATTATGCCCATTTTTTCATTGCATTTTTGTTATCCATTTTTCCCCTTAAGCCCCTATAGTCTAATTTCTGTCTTCACAAAAACTTTCCCAGTGACTTTCTGACTACTAGCATCCTTCATTTCCTGCACATCACTAGGTTCTTTGGATTCTTGCCCTTGCAATGTCTCTTCCATTGTCTTTCCCTGCTCTCAGTTTAATTTAGACTCTGTCCCTCACACCTGGAATATGACATCACCTTCCTATCTGGGCTCCACTCCTCTATTTTTCTCCCCCTCACAAATTCATTCTGCATTGATTTGTCGAATCCATCGAACAGTGTTAGTGAGCGGTGCCAGCTAACTGTACGAAGTGCTCAGCATACAAAATGACTGAATCTCTACGTACCTGACCCAGAGGGGCAGCCAAGTAGAGGAAAGGACAGGGCAGCAGATAGGCCGGCAGCAGCAGACGTGAGGGGACCGCAGTGTGGTTACAGTGAGCACTGACAGGGCATTAGGAAGAATGTACTGGGAATCCAGAAGAAGGGCTGGGAAAGTTGAGAGAGGTGACTTTTTACCTGGTTCCCATGTGACATTGTCATTTGAACTGGTATTTAAAAGAGGAAAAAGATTTGTTAACGGAGAGAAGAGTCAAAAGGGAGTATCAGGAAGACACAGAAATAACTTCCCTAAGCTTGCCTCTGTTGACTGCACCACCCATACCTTAGCAGATAATATACCACCGGGCACTGACACACATCTCCTGAAAGTCACGGGCACTTTCTACTTGGCATCCTTAGCTCTGTGCCTAGAAAACAGGCGGGACATTCAGTAAATGTTTGCTGAATGACCAAATACATGAATGAGTGTTATAGAATTGATAAGTCCTTTGGCTGTGGCTGGACTTGGAGGTGCACTGAAGAAGTGGTAGAAATGAGACCTCTGAAACTTCACCTCAGTCATTTCTTTGCCCTACTCAGGAACCTCCAGAGGTTTCCCTCTGTAAGGGTTTCTCAACTTCAGTGCTGTTGACACTTTGGACCTGACAAGTCCTTATTGTGTTGGATTGCCCTGTGCACTAGAGGATGTTTCCAAAATCCTTGGCCACTCCCCACAAAATGCCAATAGCTCCCCCTGATCTGTGACAACCAAAAATGTGTCCAGGCATTGCCAGATGTCTCATGGGGAATATAATCATCCTCAGTTGAGAACCACTGGGTGTGATCTTCAAAGTTATAAATGAATAGTTCTTTTGAATACTTTATAGGAATTAGTACAGTTCTCTGAACAACTATAGCACTTGGAAAATATTTATTTAATTGAGATGCTTTTATAAAATTTATTCAGTTACTCTAAGAAAGACTTAGAGACCATCTTCAAATTCCTCTTCAGAATATTATATGACATTTAAAACTTTCCTATTTTACAGATGAAGTGTTCAAAAACTGTGAGACAAATGCACTAAAACAAGATTATGTCGATTTAGATTAATTTTGGAAGTTTTTTCGTTAAAATTTTTACAGGCACAGTCAACAAGAGAATGAAAAGAGGACCATCGCATCTGTATCTGCCGATGGCATGAAGATAATGCTAACTGAGCCACTGAATTACACACACTTAGGAATCACTGTCAGACTCCCCGATGGAACTCTGTTTGAAGCGAGAGCCGAAGTCGGAATTCTTACAAGAAATATTTTAATAAGAGGATCTGATAATGTGGAGTGGAATATCAAAATTCCAGCATGTCCGGATGGATTTGACACTGGTAATTTTAGCAGCCAGAGCGTGTCAAATTAATTGTTTCCAGGCATTGCAAAAATGGTCCCTGGGAACAAAATCACCCCCAGTTGCAAACTGCCAGGCGAGGTTATGCTGTAGTAATAAATAAGCCCCAATGGCAGGGATTCAATTGAGAAAGATGTATTTCTCGTTCATGCTGCATGTGTCCGAAATGCTCTTTCTAAAGATTCCAGGATCTGGGCTGCGGGAGGCTCTACTTCAACAGAGGCCTCTGTGATCTCTGGGACAGAAGAAGTCATGTGATGGCGGGGAGTCAAGCAACAGCACTTACTTTGGTCCTGAAGTGACATGTGTCTCTTCCACTCAGGTGTCATTAGACAGAACTGATAACATAGCTATGCTTAACTTACCATAGTACTTCTATGTGTGCCTGTGTGTGTAGCAGATAGATGACATTGTGATTTAACAATAGATAAATAGATGGATGGATGGATGGATAGATAGATAGATAGATGATACTTTTATGTAATAACTAATACCATTACAGTCCGATATGGAGTTAAATACTAACAAACAGAGCTTAAGTATAGCCTTTCCTTCGATGGGATAAATGAGACAAGGCTCCCTGGATCCAGTGTCAAATAACCTACATTCTGATTCCAGTTCATGAAACTTAATTTCATCCCGTTTAAAATAAGAATATGTCCTGTTCTGTCCACTTACTGTAGTTATAGGAATTAAGTGACAAAATGCATATTCTAGTGCTACACAAATATAAGATTGCATTATGTTACTTCCCAAATCTTGGGGCAAAGCTTCAGAGATAATAAGACAAAGTACCTTTATCAGTATTCATTCAACCATTCAAATATTTATTTAGTATCTTTGAAAAATTCTGTAATAGGTGCTTTAGGAAATGCAAAGGTGAACAAGACAAGGCACTCACCTTGCTTGCTATTTAGAGGAGGAAATGATATGAATGCAAATAATTATGTCACAGGATGAGATTAAAATTATATATGAATAAAAAGATATAATTAGGTATGGGAGGAAATCTTAATATAATTAGAGGATTTTGCCATGGTTTTTCTTTATGTTTTCTTAAAAAATATTTTTAAAGGTGAATTTGCTACACAGACATGCTTCCAAGGAAAGTTTGGAGAAGAAATAGGAAGTGACCAGTTTGGAGGCTGCATTATGTTCCATGCTCCCATACCTGGTGCTAACATGGTAACTGGAAGAATAGAATATGTAGAGGTAAGAAGCATTACTGTTAAATCACAATGGTTTGCCGGAGGTTATCCATACAATGAATAAGCACTGAATTCCTGCTTTTTGCCAGATGCTGCTTATAATCTAGTAGAGGAGACAGATAAGTAAACACACAGTTTTGATACACCCAATTATTCACCCATTTAATCATGCCAAAATTTTCTCTATTTTTATCGCATCCCACATCAAATTCATCAAGTTCTATCCATACTGCCTACAAAATACAATGACCCGCATCCACTCTCTCTCCACCACTGCTACCTGATCCCTCAACCAAGCCACTATCCCCTCTAACCTAGATTATTATGATTTTCTCCTAACTCAACATCCTGTGTCCACCCTTTCTCCAATAGAATCTCCACACCACAGTCAAATACAAATTTTTAAGTATAAATAAGATCTTGTTGCACTCTGTTTAATGGCTTCATATTACACCTAAAACAAAAAGCCCAAGTCCTTCCCATAGGACCCACACGATCTGTCCCCCAGCTGGCCTCTGACTTTACCTCCTATGATTTCTACCCCTGGCTCATGCCATGCTAGCTACATGGGCCTCCTTGTATCTACTGACCATGTCAGGCATATTTTTGTCTCGGGTTCTTTGTGCTTGCTCTTCATTATGCTCGGAATGCTCCTCTACCAAATGCTTGTTTAGTTCACATTCATTTCAGTCAGGTGTCTCCTCAAGTGTTCTCTCTTAAGACAGGCCTTTCCTCACCATCTTTATTTGAAATAACTGCCCAAACCTGTTTTCCTTTATTTACTCATAACTCCTGACATATATCTATTTTCAATCTCTCCCTCCAGAACATAAATTCAATTAGTTCAGAGATTTTGTCTTTCTGGTTTTCTGCTGATTCTCATGTGGCTGGAACAGTGCTTGGCATATAACAGGTTCTCAACTGATTGTTAATTGAACCAAAATATAAATAAATGAACAAATATGCAAGTTATCTGCAAGAGATTAGGAGCCCCTCTGTATCTTATTCATATTCAGTCTATATAATCAGAATTTAGCCTAGTTTTTGTCAAGTATTCAGTAAATGGGAGGAAGGAAGGAAGAAAGGAAAGTGGGGAGGGGAGAGGGCGTGTGTGAGAGAGAGAGGGATAGTAAAACCTATAAATCTATTACACTGGGAACACCTAGACTACAAACAACGTATGGAGGGTGATAGAGTCCACATCTGTGTTTTATGAAACTTCCCTCCTCCTAGAATATGTTACACATATGTGACATCTAAGATATAGACTGAGTGAGGTTGCCAGGGTCAATCTGTGTATTAATTATTAATAATAGTTAATTTGTAATTTTTAGATGGAGAATGAAAATAAATAGGTGCCCTAACATCTTCCTTCCTAACCTTCTAGGATCATATTACACACACACACACACACACACACACACACACACACACTGGCATCCTCTGTATTAAATTACTAGATCGTAGACCTATTGAAAGAAAGCACAGCACAGTAGTTAATAACAGCACCAAATGTAGAATCAGACCACCTTGGATTTAAATGGAGTTTTATAACCATGAACAAGATAGTTAGCCCTTGTGAACTTCAATTTCTTCATCTGTAAAATGAAGCTGATGATCACTGGCTCCTTCATAGGACTGTGGTGAAGACCGTGATCATGTATATACAACAGAGCACAGTATCTGGCACACGGCAAACATTCAAGCAATGTTTCCTATTATTATCTAAGAATCAAAGTGAAGGAGAAAAATAAGCCTTTGAGAGGTTTTATTTTGCTAAACATGGAAGTTTACTAATAGACTAAAGTGAAAAGCAGAAGATTCAAAGATGGCTTTTGTTCATTCATTCATTTGGTAACAAGTATGGGCTGTTATATGTTGAATAAAACAATGTAGGTTGAAGGTCACATAACATTTTTGAATGATAAATGTGAATAATAAGGAAGATATAAATATTAATAATTATTATTATAAAATTGGAGATTATTTTGAAACGAGAAGACAGAAGCCAGACAAATTATGAGTATATGTGTATCACTAAATAGCTATGATTTCTGGGCTTGACAGATATTCCATGCTGGCCAGGCTTTCCGGTTGGGGCGTTATCCAATACATTGGCACCTGCTTGGAGATTTACAGTTTAAATCTTATGTAAGAGGCTGTGCAATTCACCAGGCCTATAACAGAGCCGTTACTATCCATAACACACATCATCTGCTGGTGGAGCGGAATATTATATATGATATCAAGGGAGGAGCATTTTTTATAGAAGATGGTATTGAACATGGCAATATCTTGCAGTATAACTTGGCAGTATTTGTGCAGCAAAGTACCAGTCTTCTGAATGATGATGTGACCCCCGCTGCATTTTGGGTAACGAACCCAAACAACACCATACGACACAATGCAGCTGCTGGTGGCACTCACTTTGGCTTTTGGTACCGAATGAACAACCACCCTGATGGGCCATCCTATGACCGAAACATTTGCCAAAAAAGAGTTCCTCTTGGAGAGTTCTTTAACAACACTGTTCATTCTCAAGGTTGGTTTGGAATGTGGATATTTGAAGAATATTTCCCCATGCAGACAGGATCTTGTACTTCTACAGTGCCAGTGCCTGCGATATTTAATTCACTGACTACTTGGAATTGTGAAAAAGGAGCTGAATGGGTCAATGGAGGTGCCCTTCAGTTCCATAACTTTGTGATGGTAAATAATTTTGAGGCTGGAATTGAGACCAAAAGGATTCTGGCTCCTTATGTTGGAGGATGGGGTGAAACCAATGGAGCAGTGATTAAAAATGCCAAAATAGTTGGGCATCTCGATGAACTGGGAATGGGGTCTGCATTTTGCACAAGGAAAGGCCTGGTTCTCCCATTTAGTGAAGGCTTGACTGTATCATCTGTACACTTTATGAACTTTGACCGTCCCAACTGTGTAGCTTTGGGAGTGACGTCCATCACTGGAGTTTGTAATGAGAGATGTGGAGGCTGGAGTGCAAAATTTGTTGACATCCAGTATTTTCACACACCAAACAAGGCTGGCTTTCGATGGGAACATGAAGTGGTACTGATTGATGTTGACGGTTCGCTTACAGGTAAATGTTATGTTCTAATTTCTGATAACATACATTGGAAATATATTTGTGTTAACGCAGAGAGTTGAATTGTCAAAGCAGACTCACATGAATCACAGATCTTACCCAGCACCAAACTTTGCAAGTGATTTAAGGATATAGGTCAACAATAGGCTCAGATTAGATGTTCTTTCCTGGAAGAGACCCAAATCGTCAAATGTAGCCTCCCCAAATATCCTTTTTTCTTGCATTTGCTCTTTGGTTTGGAATTAACAGCAAATTCTGAGCAATATTTATGGAAACACTGACTACAAAAGGAAATCATTTCAGTTTTAGAGCTTCTTCATTTTATATATATTCAGTTAATTATACAGGTAAGAAACTGTTTACATGACTACCCAAATTCTCCAGCCAGTCATGCCCCATAAATATATATATTCCAGGTTTATTTACATAAGCAATGTGGGTAGACTGGATATATCCTACTAAAATACTTTAAAGGAAAGGAATAAGTTACAGGCCTGCTGTTAACCCTTTTCTTTCCAATCTAAATTCTGAATTTGAAATTAATTAAAAGAATATGTTAACTGTAATATACAATGCAACATAATTTATAGGTTAAAATTTTTTTACCATTTCAAGTTTAGAGTATGCCACATTTTCTGTAAAAATTCATAATTTCTAGAATTTAGTGTCTTTACACATTATTAATAATAAAGACTTGTCTAAGATAGCGAGGATGTATGTGTGTGATTCTATATAATACTTTAAGAGATAATTGACAAATAAATGTACAGATATTGACAATTTACTTTTGAAAGACTTTGTAAGATGGAATAAGATTCATCTCAAATTCAAACAGGCTGAGTTCTCAGCTATAGCTGTTGATTTTTGTCTCCTGTTCTAATTGTGGATTTAAGAGGGAGGACATTTAGGTGGTTCTAATATACAAAACTTTGTGTAATTTTTTACAGTTTATCTAATTCAGCTTAGATATTTAATGTTAGTTGGCAGTCTATTGGTTAAGAGTATGGACTTTATGGTCAGACTGCCTGGATTTGAATCCTTCTGTGTGCCCTTGAGCAAGTTACTTATCCTACTTCCCATCCCATGTTTGGCTCTCATGGGTGCTTCAGATCCTGTGTTTCAGCTACATCTACAGTAAGCTCCCTGACTGAAGAGTCCACTGCAAAGCCTTTGCATGAGGTCCTCTTGCCCCATGCCGCCCCCCGCCAAAATGTACCAGGACTTTTAGATTTTGTTACTGGGACTATCGGTCACAGTAGCTATATGTTGTAGACAGTTTGGGATTTTGTTTTGTTTTGTTTTTTAGTTTTCTTACATGATATAGGAAACATGCTGTTTATGTCCCTCTCCTAGGTCACAGAGGACACACCGTCATTCCACACAGCTCACTGCTGGACCCTTCTCATTGCACTCAAGAAGCCGAGTGGAGCATTGGGTTCCCAGGGGCTGTCTGTGACACCTCAGTCAGCTTCCACCGTTTGGCATTCAACAAACCTTCTCCAGTATCTCTGCTTGAAAAGGATGTGGTTCTCTCAGACTCTTTTGGTAAGTGGAATATAATAGTTTAAGCCACTAACTTAAATACGTTTTTCTATTTTCATCATCATCTTTTTAAGTTGTCACTCACTGTTTGGAACATGGAAAAAGTATATTTGTATCAGTCAATAACCAGACAGGAAAAAAATAACACACCCAAAATGGGCATGTGAGGAGTATTGAATAAATACATGGACCAGCATGATGTTCTGCTTGCTCAAGGAGCACCCAGACAATATTACAACAGAGAGTAGGAAAGTTGACATAGTCCTTGGAGCAAGACAATAAAATATACCATCATCCCTGCCAGTGAAGGCAGACCCTTTTGATTATCTTTGTTGATTGAAATGGGATGAGGGAGCATTTCTTAGGTCAGTAGCTGTACACCAGGTGCCAAGGATTGTTGATTTGCTGATTTGTTTCAGTAAAGATACCATACCTGGAATACCAGATGAGCTTGACATCATTACCAGACTAGGTTGCATTAATTTGCTGTCATTATTCATGATCCATTTGGCATTTGCACTAGCCAAACATGCAAGTTAAATGGGGATATCCCTTTGGTTGAGAGATGCAGGAGCCCACCAAGAACCCCCTACTTCCTCACAGGGAGAGAGTCAGGGGAATAAGCTCATTTCACATTCCTCCTTGCCTAGCTTCTCCTTCTCTTTCGTGTGTTTCCCATTGTCCAAACTCATGGAGAATGGCGAACCATGGATCTGCAGGAAAAACAGTAAGTATACAATGCCTCTTTTGTTGTTTATTATGATGTTATCAGTTATTATAGTTAACTTTAAAACATTCTTACTAGAATTTCTTCCTCCTATGAGTTGAAAGGGCCATACACCTACTCTCTGGGCAATGGTTATACCCATTGTCTCACTGACTTAATGACATGAACCTGGCAGCCATTTCTTTTCTTCTGATAACCAGATGTCCAGAATGGAGCAACATTACTTAAACTTTGAGAGACTATGGTACAATAAACAGTATTTTAAGCAGAATATCTATGAAAGTTTTCTGACAGGCTGAAACTAAAAGGAACCAAAACATCAAAAACAAATGATGTTAACACCGTCTTTGGGGTGATCCGTGGTGGACGTTTTGAGGGCAGCTGACCTGCAGCCTGCGCGCCCCGGACCGCCTTCTGTGGAAGCCTGAGCCGGCCGTGTAGCTTTCTCCCTTTGTCTCATAACCATGTCCACCAACGAGAATGCTAATTCACCAGCTGCCCGCCTTAACAGATTCAAGAACAA